TCAAGAAATAATATTGCCTCGTTCTTTTTCTAAAAAATTAAATAGAACTGGAGATTTTTAAATACCGCAATTAACGAGATACGTGGTCTGGTAATTTCACCGTAGATATGAAGTAGTATTAAGTCCTTGGTATTTTGCCGCTTTTCCCCGTCTGTTTGGATATTCCAATTTTTCCCTCTACCCGAGGGGCTCCCTCAGCAAATTTTTCGTATATTAAAAAAGTAAAAAAAAAAAAAAAAATCGGACATGCCGAGATTTTGCGGACATTTTCCTAAAGTTCAGCGCTTACACATACTCAAGATTTTATGAAAACCTTTAAACAATATGAAATGAACCAAAATTTGCCGAGCGATGACATAATACCTATGAATTAATTTAAATGTATAAAATAAGTCTGGTGACACTATAACATGATTCTATCTATCTATATATTCGCATTCAACATATTCTTCCCTCCAAGACATAAAAATATAATGAATATGCCTCTTGAAACGATAAATTCTTCAGGGTTTTTGGAGACATTTCATAAACATCCCTCGAGCCTCATGAATATTCTAAAGTAATGCAGTAAACTTCATTGCGAAAAATAAAATTGATGGGACGAATTTAAAATTCGTAAAACAGGGACGGTGAAAAAAACTTCGTGCATGGGACCCGAAGTTGAGGTCATATGGATCTCTGAAGTTTTCTGATCACGCATTCGAAAATTTGAGGTCGAGCAGCCAAAGTTCGGGTCAGACATCGAGGCACCTCGGTATGTACCGGAGCACTTCAGATGTGTGACCCGAGCCCTTCGGTATACATCGAAGTACTACAGATGGACATTACTACATTTTGCAATTCGGAACTATAACTTCCGGCCTGGTTTAAAAACAACGTATGTGCCATTAGTTTCCCTATGCACATAAGTGTTTTTTCAGATGAGCCAGAATTTATAGTTCCAAATTGCGAAATGCAATTCAGATGTCTGACGCGAACTTCGACAGCTGGACCTCTAGTTTTTAGATTCGTGATCCGAAAACTTCAGAGATCCATATGACCCCAACTTCGGGTCCCACGCACGAAGTTTTTTCCTCCGCGTATAATGTTGAAAACTATACTTAATTTTACTATTGCAAAGTTAAACATACACAGGTAATAGAAAGTAAATTAAAGCTGTAACTCATTAAAATTGTGCCGACCGCTGAGCACCTTTAACACCCACGTATTAGAGCTTTCCCGCTTTTTTTTTGTTTGTTTGTTGAGAGCTGTGTAAAGTGACATATCAACGGCACTAATGCAGATTTTGCGCTGATTGACGCACACGTTGTACTTAACTTCAATTACTGTGGTAGGTTTGTTCCTCTTCCCCCATATTTGGTTTTGGTCCATGCATCAGAGACTTAAAACTAAGTTCAGAGAAAAACGTGACGAATTTAACTATGTGGGTACTCGTATCTTTGAATAGGAAAATGGTGACGTTGCATGGTGTCAACAAACCCAAAATCTGATCAAGGAGTCAACGATTGCTGACGTCGTGCTCAGGCAGTAAAACGCAAAAATGGGCCCTGAGAATGGTGTCTACGATCATGGTGTCAACAAACAGAAAAATATCTTCCTTACGAGTAAAATTAGATAATTTCGTGTAGGGTCACGTACAGTTAGATTAGGTCAGTTCACGTCAGGACATGTCCGTTTGATTAGGTAAAGTCAGGTAGGGTAAGATCGCAAACTGGCCAAAAATCGCGCGACCTGTACTGCGCCAGAAATTGAAAATTGTGTATTTTCGAGGGAATGTAGCAACAAGGTGTGGAGATTTTGAATCGGCAGCACACGAGGCTGCGAAAGCGATTTTCGATTGTTTGATAATTTGTTGCAGCTTTCATTTCGCACAAAGCTGGTTCAGGCATATTCAGGGTGATAAATTTGTGTTGCGTGAGTACTTGCACCCTGCTTCAAAAATTGGTAAATGGTTAAAATATGCTTTTGGCTTAGCGTACCTTCCACCTTGTGAAGTTGCAGATGGGTACCTCGACCTAATCTCTATAAAACCACTTGAGGCCCCACCAGTTTTTCGACCTACGTTACGGAAACGTACATCGTCCTACCAATGTCCCCCCCCCCCCCCCC